GGGCGCGCTTTTTACAAGGTAACTTATTATCTAGCTAAACGTCGCAAATCATCGGCACTTAAATAATAAATAATTCGTCTAATAGCCAAATGATGAGGATCGGTATATGGAATAATAGTGCTGAGAAAAACCGCGGCATTCTCTATGAATTTAAATCTCTCGTAAACCATCGTGCACTTATTGAACAACGTTCTACTATGTTTCGGATAATGTTTCAACAGCTCGACCATCTTGTAACAGTTCGTAAAGCTCTCGTTCCTCGCGTAGGCGCAAATTTTTTCAACACTGTCGCACAGGAGATTGTAATACGTGATTCTGCCGAATGCTGTTTTCGTTTTCATCGATTCGATCTCTTCCACACAACACTCGTAATAGTCCTTGATCTCCGAGTGAGTCTCGATGGCCTTCCGATCGATGTCCGTTACGCTTATTTGCAAGGAGTCGAGTTTAGCGATGTGCTCGACGACTGTAAAGGTTATGGGATAAATGCCCTGCTCGACCACGAACTTGACGATGTGACGATTCGCGATCGGCTCGCTCAGACGCGCTCCACATTGGAATAAATATCTTATGAGATCCGAGCGCACCTCCAGCCAAGCCCGATTGTTATTCGTCACGGCGAAGTAGAGCGGCGTCCTCCCGATGAGGTCCTTACCATTTGGATCGGCGCCCTTCTCCAGCAGGAGCTTGGTGCAATTGAGATTGCCGACCTCGGCGGCCTTGTGTAACGCCGTTTGCCCGGCGAGGTTTCTCTCGTCTACCGACAGCTGACATCGGTAAATGACCTTTATCACGTCCCTGTCGTTGTTACAGGCAACGTAATGTAAGGGCGTATCGCCGAAGCAATCCTGCACCGACATGTCCGCACCGTAATTCAAAAGGATTTCCACGGCCTGCTCGTTGCCGTACTTGAAGATATATTGGCATTGCATTTTCCCGGTCTTGTCGACATCGTGGATATTGGAACCGTTGGCCATAAGTAGCTTCAATATTTCTGGATGCTTGGAGCAGAGGATGATACTGCGCACGGCCGTACCACCCTCCACGTCCTTAACGTTTATGTCAGCCCCGTGGCTCAATAATAACATAACATGCTCATAATCACCGTTTCTCACTGCCCGATGCATCGGCGTCTTACCTCGAGCGTCCTGGAAGTTCACGTCAGCCCCTTGGTCGATCATCATTTTCGTCAATTGTAGACTATTCAATTTCATAGCAAATTGCAAGGACCAGTCGGCTTTCATTAACAACGTAGCCGTCGACTCCTTATCTATATCCAGCTTACTGACTGCATTGACGAGCGCATCTATTATCAGATTGTTCACAACATTGTTCTTCTTTCTTATAGCCGCGCTCAATGGATTGACCCCGTAGAAGTTGGAGAAGCACACGTTCGCACCGGAATTGATGAGGAGCTGAACGACCTTGGAGCGATTCATGCGCACGGCGAACAGAAGAGGAGTGCACCCACAATTATCTACAACGTCTATTACATAACCAGCCTTAATAAGATATTTGGTTATTGGAACATTGCCGCAAGCCGCGGCTAGATGTAGCAAAGTAACGCCCTCGTAATCGGCCACCTCTGTTACCTCGAAACCTTGGAGAAAGGACATCACCGTGTCATTGTGGCCAGCTTTCATAGCCTCGTATAGAGCTCCGGAGTAGTAGATGGTGTGGCCAGTGCATCGAATCTACGCATTATTTACTATATTAATGTTGATAATCAATGACTAGGGGGTGAGGGGACGAATGCCTAATATTTATTGGAGAGGGTTTTTGCGATTTTTTTTTTTTTTTTTTTTTTTTGTGTTTGAAGAGGTATAAACGAAAATTTTCAGATAATAATGAGCGAAGGAAGCAAAAGTGGACGACAACAAAAAATAAAATCTTTATGGGAAATTCATTTGGGGAATGTTATTTTATTTAACGTATTTTATTAACGGATAAAAAGCCTTTGCCAACGTTAGAGACTAACTTGTGCGTTTACCCGACACATGTCGCTTTCATGCGTTTCCGTAGAACTCCGACAGAAGAAGACATTTTCTTTTACAATTACAATTTGGCTTCTCGTTATTGGCTCCAAGTACTTTGTACAATTTGCAAGTATATCGCAGTTAAATCCGTTAGAAAGCATAATTTCGCAGATATAAGGTTTTATAAGAGCCACGTGTAGTTTTACGTCATCGACGAATACGTCGATTTATTATTACACACATTTATTGTTTCATATTTGAATTATGTTTAAAAAAAAAAAAATTTATCTCCACCTATAATCAGCGAGATAATAATACAGATTAATTTTCAGCTCTTATAAGATTTTCCATAAATGCAAAGAAAACGTACCGCTAACGTAAAAATTCTTTTAGAATTCTAGTTAGAATTTAATTTATTTATTTTTTTTTTTTTTTTTTTTTTTAATCTTTTGAATCATTAATAATTGAATATTTTCATAAATTCTTGTTGGCATAATATATATATATATATATATATATATATATATATATATAAAATACAAATATTTATAATAATCATAGTATTGGTGGACAGATCAATTTCTTGCTTACAATTACTAAACGTTACTTAACAAATAGATCAATTAACAAATTGTGTACTGAAAACTTACTTGAAACTTTTAATATTTCAATTTTATATATGTTGCACGAAATAATTATACATAATACGCAAGTGAAAGATTGCTTTATTATTATTTTTTGTTTTCTATTATAGATTGTTAAATAAACAATATGATCATATATATATATATATATATATATATATGTATATATCGTAAAGTAAATGCATAAAAAAATCTTTTAATACTACTTTTTGCACCAACTATTTGCCAAATTTTTCAACAACTTGCTTATAAATGATATGCATATGTATTATGTATTGTAATGTAAATAAATGTTAAATTGGAAGCTAGGATTGGCAGGCTCGACATCTTGATTTAATCCAATATTACATTGCATTAAAGATAAACTTTTTCGAATTATTGGGAGAATTCGACAAATACTTATTTGCATGATACTCACCCTGTGAAATCGGCAGATTGACATCGTCGGTGAACGTAAAGCATCGTTTACGAGTCCAGCGATGCGTCTACAAGGATTTGGACAGAAGACGCGAGACGCAACGGAGCCGATACGGAATCCTCTTATCTCAATAATTCTTCCTTTGCAATCGTCCCATCCCTTTACTTATTTCTGTGTCTCTCTCTTTATTAGCGACGCGCTCGCCCGGCAACGCCCGCACCACACGACTCGAACTACATCACTGTACAACTCGCAACTACTCTCCGTCTAGCTTCACCATCCTCACTGAACCACTTCTCTACCTCCTGAAGAAAAGTCTTGGCTTCTACTGCGTTTTTGCACGTATTGGTGAAGTTTTGGACTGTGGCAGCGCTATTTATACGTTCCCGACCCTATAACTTCCAAAATGGACAATCATTTTCCCCGGCAAGAGATACTTTGGGCCTCACTTTCCTTTGGACCTCATCAATACCGATATTGCCTACTCGTAACAATACTCTAAGCCCAAGTCTAATATCCCGACTTAATAACACCACCCTATTATCTCCATAGGTCTATTACCAATTTTGACCTGCCTTCGATACGTAAACTTAGTACACAGGCGATTGTGCGCGCACAATGCGCGCATACGTACGCGTTCGTCCAAGGTACGGCATAAATAGCACAGCCATTCTCCGTAAAGTAAGTATAGTGCCTCGTTGTGTACCTAGTAGCAGTAAATTGGTTCTGTTCCTGCATGAACCGGGAAAGACAGGTATACAACTATGTCATTTAGGTATCTTGGCTGACGTAGCTCTTGCTGGGGAAAACATTTTCATAATTGGCAAAATAATTTTAACATTAGGATTTAAGGGATTTGGGTGCACAATGCCTATTCGAGGTAATTCGGCCGAAAGAGGACGACAGTTTAGGAACGGGAAAGTTTTGAAAAAGTTGTAATTGTTATTTTATTATTCAATTCTTGCACGTAGACGGATCTACGGAGAATTTTCTATTATCGACAGATGTCTCGAAGCTTATTAAATAATGTATTTAAAGGAAATGACTCTTGTTGCATTCTTATCGCAATACTTATCCCCCCGAACAACGAATTACCTTGCAGCTCTATTATCATTTCTTCAAATTCTTCCAATATCATTCCTCAAATTCTGTTAAAACATAGCTTTGACTAGGCTCGCGCTCGCACGCACACACACACACACACACACACGCGCGCGCGCACGTACGGGCGAACATTGAATACGTTAAATATTCTTAGGAGTTATTACGTTTTTCTGATACCATCAATTATATATATATATATATATATATATATATAGGCGCATATTTTAGACGGGCGTGTATGCGTGTAAGATGATGCGCGATTGCGCGAATGGATGTACATTCACGCGCACTCGTTTCAAGAAGTGGAAAATTTTTAATCGCCAACTTGTGCAATATACGGCGTATAGTATTGCGCATCGGGAGGAATAAGTAAATATACTTTTATGAGACTACGTATTAAATCAATCGATATCCGAGTATGTATTTAAAAAATCTCGATGGTACGATGTTAGTTGGAAGCGAAGTTGTTAAGAAAACCGTTATTACGAAGTTGAATTTAATTATGCAAAACGGAACGTTTCACTTAGCATTGCAGCCTTGGATGAGGCTTGGGGATATGAAAATCCAAGATTTTTCATAAAAGGGGCGTCACTAAATCCGATGGAATACCATTTGTTATTATCCCCTTTGTCAGCAAACAGGACGCAATCCCAACCTCGGTACCTCGAGCCTATAAGCCAATGTAAGAGCGAGAAAGCGATACTCGAGGAAGAGCTAACGACCGATTTTCCACTCGAGTTAAAAAATGATTACCGCGCGAACCAGCGGCCAGTTAGTTTATTTAGTGAATTCGTTGGCTGCGGCACTACACCGAGCCCACGCATGTGGTTCGGGCGGGAAAAGAGCCGAGGTGAGCCA